CTTCATCCTCTCCAGGTCTGTAGGCCCAGGCCCTGAGCAGGGGGCTGGTGAGCACAGGAGGCTGCCTGCCTACTCCTCCTTCACTATTACTTTCTTCAGCTCCCCCCATTCCCCTCTTATCCGCCTCTTCTCTAAGCTGCCAGGCCAAGGGCCAGAGCCCTTGAGGGCCACCGTCCACATGGGAAGGGGGGCTTTGTTCAGCTGCTCCTGGGGCCTGTTCTCCTGCATCTTCATTCTCATCCACCATGCCTTCTCCAGGCCAGAGGGCTCTTTGTCCCATGAGGAGGTCTCTAGCTGCTCCCTCTGCCCCCTGTCCATCGTCTTGCTGGGCCGGGCCTGCAGGCCTACCGCCAGGCTTCTCTCTCCTGGCTGCTCCTTCATGGACCTTCTGTTCTCCAGACCCACAGCCGGTTGGGCCTTCAGCGGTTCCTTCATCACCCTCTTTCCTCACTTGCTTAGCCCAGGGCAGGGGGCTAGGGCTGGCCCAAGCTCTTCTGACTTCAGGCCAAGGTCCTGGAGCCTGGACAAAAGTGCTCTCCTCCTCTTCAGCTCCAGCTTCAGGGCTCACAAGCTTTGCTTCTCCTCTAGGCTTGGGCTGGAGTCCCACCCTCCACAGCTGGGCCAAGGCCCAGGCCAGAAGGAACAGAAGGCCAGAAAAAAGGCTGCTCCTGAGGGAGGCCTCTACGGGGACACCAGTGGTGTGTCCCAGGGCAGGGCTGGGCTGTAAGAGAAAGAAACAAGCAGGCTACATTAGACTTCTCTTGTCGTGAGTCATGGGAGGGAAACAGGAAGCCAAGCATTTGGCAAACCCACACTTTCAACCCTGACTGAATAGCCCCACCCCTTCCTGGCCTCTCCCATTCCTGGTGGCCCTAAGCACTTTTAGTCAGCTACCTCTTACCTAGTCTGGGTTTGTTTGTTTTTTAAGACTAGCCTTAACCCCAAATCACTCCGGCTCTCCACCCTTCCCAAGATATCTTGGGGTTTCTAGGCTAGTTTAAGGACAATGCCTTAAACCCAAATCACTTGGATCTCACTAATTGGCCAACAGATACTGACTGACTCAGAGTGAATGTAAATAGGAATTGTTTCTGTTTTGACCAGAAACCCTGAGGGGCTTCCCCTCCTAGTTTGATTGGGGGGAGGGGGGGCTGGGTTAAAGAGGCCATTCTTTGCCTCATTTTTTTACCTAGCTTTCATCACTCAATGGCTGTTGCGACTTGCAAAAGACCTTAGGTTTAAAAGGCCAAGGTCTCCCACTGCATCCTGGGCCATCTCCAGTCCCCTGGTCTGTTTCTGGCCACTGGACCCAGGTGGCTCTGGAACAGAAAATGAGGCTGGTGACTTTGCACAGCCCTCCCTCACTTAAATCCAATTCACTCGCCTGTCATGGCATCACCTCCCTAATGTCACGGTCCTTTTCCAGAACAGAAGGGCAAACACCACCTAGGTATATGTGCTTTACCCCTGGTTCCTGGCCCCTGAGAGCCTCAAGCACCACTTACAAGGCAGCTGGTGGCTCAGTGGCTGGAGCACTGGGCCTGGAGTGAGGAGCAAGACCTGAGTTCAAATCTGGCCTTACACTAGCTGTGAGACCTTGGGCAAGTCACATAACCTCTGTTTGCTGTAAAATGGGGATAATAATAGCACTTACTTCCCAGAATTGTGATAATATGGGCACAGTACCTGGCACCCAGCAGACATTAATAAATGCTTATTCCTTTTCCTTCCTTCCATCCCTCCCTCCCTGCTGGGAGTTCTCCTTGCCCCTGGACCCTTCTGGTCCTCATCTTCTCAGAGATCCTGGAGGTCCCCCTCTGCCTCTCTGTTCTGAGGTTCCCAGCTCCCTGTCCCCTAACGCTGAGGTGTGCCTCAGTGCCCCCTTCCTGTTCCGTCCTGCCCCTCAAAGGTCCCAGCCCCCCTTACTGTACTATCCTGTCCCCTCCCGAATCCCTCCGTGTCCTGTCCCCTCGAGGATCCCGGCGCCCCCTCCCTGCTCTGTCCCCTCGGGGGCCCCGGC